TCCGGGTTTGGACCGGTTTGGGCGTTGGCTCTATGTTGCGGTTCTATTTTCAGGGACAGGTTTGAAGGTTTAGGGCCTGTTTTTCGTTTTTTAGGCTCAAGAGGGCTGTGGGCTTTGGGATTCAAACATTCTCGCAGGACTTGCAGGGTTGGAGGGTTTGGGACTTAGGGATTCATCGTATTTGGGGGTGTGTTTGTAGGGTGAAACCATATTCCAACTTTCTGGAGTTCCCTTTGTATCCTGAACCCCAAACGCTGGGCCCCTGAACCCGATGACACCACCCACACCCTTAGCCCGTAAACCGTAAACCCTGACTTTGTGATTCGGTGGCCCAGGACCTGTCCGAATGGCCTCTCGTATATAGCCTGTGGAGAGCAATTGCTAAGATTACTGCAACCCTAAACCCTAAACCCTAAACCCCTAGACCCTAAACCCTAAACCCTAAACCCCGAAACCTGCCGCAGGCTGGGTCTCCCCTCTCCACGCGGCATGACGATGCTGCGGAACTGGCTCTGACAGTGAGGCGCACTCGCGCAGCAGCGCCCGAGAAAGCCGAAAGGAAGAAGCGAAAAGAGTCCCGCGCCTGCGCTCACCCGGTGAATGGCGGCGTGAATGTGGTGCCCTTGGTGGACATGGTCAGGGGTTTAGCTCAACGACGCGCAAATCGGGGACATCAAGAAAAGCTGCGGGGACCCATGCCGACCATCGCTCTGAGCTTCGAAAGGGGTTTCGGGTTTTTAGGGTTTTGGGTGCACATTGCACAGCTCACGGCCTAGGATTTATATGGTTTAGGGTTCAAGGTTTCAGGGTTTAGGGTTTAGGGGCCTAGGGTTTGAGAGTGTGGCCTGGAGCTCCGGGTAGCAAGCTGTAGGATTGGCCTTATCGGGGTCTTCCGAGGCTACTAGGCCGGTGCTATCACGGCATAAGGTTTTCGGAGTTTTAGGGTTTCGAGATAGGTTCTGCCCGGAAAAGGCCCCGGGTGTAATTTCGGAGTTCCTTGACAGCGGGCACTTTCGACCAGCTGCCCCTGCCATCAACGAACGGGTCCATGGAGAACACGAAGAGGTCACTCCCATGTCCATGATAGCTTATTATAGTAGTACACTGCTAAAGTAGTATATTAATATATTATTGTAGTATATTGTTACAGTATAGTGTTCTAGTATACATTTGTGGTGACTCGGGTCTTGAAGCTGGTCTTGTCGAAAAGTGTGTTCCAGCTATCTTTCGATTTCCTGAGCCTGAGTCCCTAAACTTAAGCAGTTAACCCCCAAAAATACCTGAAACCCTAAACCCCTAAACCCTAAACCCTAAACCCTAAACCCCTAAACCCCTAAACCCTAAACCCTAAACCCCTAAAACCCTAAACCCTAAACCCTAAACCTTAAACCCTAGACCGGTAAACCTTAAATCCTAAGCCTTAAACCCTAAACCCACAAGAAAGACATGGATCATTGGCCCCCCCAAAGCCTCAACCAGTTCTACACATTACAATATAAAAGACCGGAGCCCATCAAACCGGACCTTAATATAGGAACGTAGGGGCCTAGATACTTACCAACAGTAGTGTGGGGGGTTCCTTATGATATTTATGGTATACTGGGCTGTTCTGATTATTAAGGCCCCTCTCTTAACCCTGAACCCGAAAACCCAATTTTTAAGGCCCCTATATTAGTCCGATCGCAAAGGATCGGCCCAGATGAGCACCACGCGGCTGTCGGCAGCGACGAGGGGCGCGTGGCGTTCCTTCGATGTGATCAGTCGCGTTGCAAGGGCGTGGGGCAGGAGGTTTTTTTGGTTCCCTCAACCCTAAACCCAAACCCTAGACCCTAAAGGGTTTTGTATGGCCTTTGAAGGCGTTATAATAATTGTTGTATAGGGCATGGTGAACGCAGGTTTGAGGGCTTGGGCATTCAAGGAATTTGGGGCTTACAGTTAAGCTTCCAGCAGGCCTAGGAGACGAAGGTAAAGGCTCGTTGAACGTTTTTTTCTTCGGGCTTGGGGTTTATGGGTTGGGGGTCTGTAAAGTGCGTCTCTTTCAGATTAATCTGCCCATGCTCACTCATCGTCATAAGAGGTTTACCCTAAAGCCTAAACTGTGAGCCCGCTGGCTTTCGGGGGTTTCTGGTAGATCCCTGCAGAGCCGTCTTAAAGTTCTTTGAAACCTTACACCCAGAACTTAGAAAAGGCACCATATGCCCAAAGCCTAAATTTCGAACTACCCTCAGGCTGAAACTGCACCCTAAATCCCCAGTATATACCTTGAACAGCTTAACTAGGTTGGATTTTCCTTATTTGGGTTTATAAGGGACCCTATATATAAATATTTTTCGGGGTGTTTAAAGGCCAACCCAGTTAAAACTTGTTTTCAAGCCCCACCAGGCTTGAGCCACTGTGTCGCAGCCGGCCTCCCGGCGACTCTGTGCGTTATGCTGCTCGGGTGAACGGTGTACCCAGAGGCCCCAAAGTAGTCCCTTGTTTGGGATTACCTTATAGGATTCTATATATGAACCCCCAAAATGGAGCTACTTTAACTACTCTGGGGCGTTTGGGTAGGGGCTTTTGTGATTTCGGCGAGTGGGTTCCTAACGAGTCTTGCAAGGGTGCTACACGGGCTGTGCGTTCAAAGAGGATTGTCGTAGATGTGCCTGATGTGCTTAAACACAAACGAATGAGGTTGTGGGCTATGTTGCAATAGAGCTTTATGAGGATTGCATGGTGATGACAATATCATTGCGAATGTTTGAGACCCCTGTGCCTGTAGTGGGGTTTCGGGGTGAAGGGCTTCACAGCTGAAGAGCCTAAGGGGCAGAGGGTCAAGGCTCTGATAGAAGGGCCTAAATCCCCAAACCCTAAACCCTAAACCCTGAACCCTAAACCCCTAAACCCCTAAACCCCGAAACCCTAAACCCCAAACCCCTAAACCTCTAAACCCTAAATCCGAAACCCCTAAACCTCTAAACCCTAAACCCCAAACCCTAAACCCTAAACCCCTAAACCTCCAAACCTCTAAACCTCTAAATCCTAAACCCATAAACCCCTAAACCTCTGAACCTTAAACCCTAAACATCGAAGGCTCCGAAGCCTGGTGCTGAAGGTTTAAGTGTCGGTTTCAGGGATTAGGGATTAGGATATAGGGTTTAGGGATTAGGGTATGGGGTTCAGGGATTAGAGTATGGGGTATGGGGTTTAGGGTATGGGGTTTAGGGTTTCAGGTAGGGTTTAAACTCTATTTAGAGCCCTGAGTTGAAGCCTGAACCAAGGCATTCAAATGCCACCGTACCAAAACGGACGGCAAAGAAGTTGCGCATCAGGCAACTGGGATGAAAAGAGGGTTGCTTACAGCGTTTCAGGTGTTTTGGGCGTAGGGCTTTGGGGTCTCAACGGGGGGGGGTCAGGTTGTAGGGCTTGGTCCTGCCTGCGGTTGAGGATTTATGCTTCACGGCTCGATGTTGTTTAGGGCAGTCTGGGTTTGGGACTTCCAAGGTTTGGGGATTTCGGGATTTAGGGTTTCAACCTTGAACTAAATCGACCCACGAAAGCACTCCAAAAATCCTTGCATTAAGGCTCCTTGCTAAGATCGAAAGCACTCCAAAAATCCTTGCATTAAGGCCATTAAGGCTCCTTGCTAAGATCGCGGTTGCTTAACTACGTAAACGATTCTGCAGTCTTTGGAAAACCCACCTAAACCCTCAACCCTAAACCGCAGAATCAGCAAGGGCCTCGTTACTACTCTGCTTTTCAAGCCCATTGATCCACGAAGTAACAGTCGGCTGACCCCATGGTTCAGGTTTTAGGGTTATAGGCTTATCTGCATTTCTAGAGGCGAACATGCCGCAGCTGAAAGCTTAAAGAATATCTCCCAAATCCTGGTCCTAGACTCTCCACCCTGAACCCCTAACCCCCATCCCTCTCTCAAAAAAATCCTGAACTCGAAGCCTTAAGTCCTTAAGCCTACGGAGGAAAGCCTGACCTTGAAGCCCTTCTTGAACCCTTGACAAACCCTGAAATGAAGCCCAAGAGCCCGAAACCCGAAGATTTTTTAACTCATAAAAACCCCTAAGCCCTAAACCCACATGAAGGGACTTAGAACCCCACGCCCATGAAGCTCCGAGTGAGCCGTGACCCAGGTGAATGCAATCGCTTTCCATCCCGCCTATGCCACGTTTGCAACGGGAGGTTCGCCAGAGAGGGGTTTAGGATTTAGGGTTTGGGGTTTAGGGTCTAGGGTCTAGGGTTTAGGGTTTAGGGCTCTTTGGGTTTAGGGTTTAGGGTTTAGGGGTTTAAAAGTTTAGGGTTTAGGGTTCTAAGGGTTTAGGGTGGTTTAGGGTTCTAGGGGTTTAGGGTTTAGGGTTTAGAGGGTCTACCTGTAGCCGAAAAGACCTACCTTTTTTAAGGCACTATATACAGAAATCATAATACGGCACCCTAAACAGGTAGGTCTTTTCGGCTACAGGTAGGGTTGTAGGGGTCTCGAACCCGACGCCTGATATGGAGGTTATGAGAGGTTCTATTCTGTACAAGGGCTTTAAGGGCGTTAAGGACGGGTTCCATAAGGCCTCCTCCAGATTGCATGGGCAGTTCTAAGCTTTCATGGCGGTCTAATGCTTACTTAGAGGATCATGGGACTTAGTAAGTAGGTTATAATTGGGGCTATAAGTGCCCTAAGTGGGGTTATCCTAGTTATAACCTACTTATAACCTTACTTACTAAGTCCCACGAGCCTTTAAGTAGGCCGTAAACCCTAAACCCTATAGATCCCTTTAAGGAAACATCTAAATCCCTATAAACACCCCTTAAAGGAACCATACTTCCTAAGTCCCACGAGCTTTTAAGTAAGGTTCTCAGTCGCGAGATTGGGTCCGGATGCATTGATCGGGTTTTGGGCAGAACCCCTGGTCAGGTGCGAGGCACCGCCACAAGTGTAAAATAGGTGCCTTACTAATTAGAATGGGTTTTTGGGGCCCATTATATATATATATATATGTATACACTGTAATTATGATAAGAAACCACCGAAATAGTATTGGTAATTATTAAGGCCCCTATAGTATGACCAGCGATGGGCGGATCCTGCACACCGGTGCGCCATATGTGCAGACATGCTGGTCCTGGAAGGCTTTACGCATACTGCAGCACCGCAGGAGTCTGTGAAGTTGCGCCGGATGAGCATCCTGCGAGCCGTTCGCCAGATTGGCCTTGATAGCTCAGCTCTATCATAACCACGAGTACTTCCACCAGGATGTGGCGCGCCCTTGAAATGATGAGCCTGCGCATCATTGCGTGCGCATCATCACCTCAACTAGAACCGATCTTGAAACGGGGTCTAAAACCTCAACCCTCGTTCCTTTGAAAGCAGGGCTATCCGAAGGTCCATGAGAAGTTTTTTCATTACCAGTTTATGGGGCTTTCCTTTCGAATTGCCTAGCTTGATCTTGTGGGAATTTGCATTGAGGGTTTAAGCTTGAGAGTATACAGGGTTCAGGTTTCGTGGGTGGTTGTCAAACCGACCTGACTTGTGATGCTGCCGACTGCCTCCCTGATGCTTTATGAACCCTAAACCCCAAACTCAAACCCTTAAACCGCTATGGTACCGCCTGCTGGAAACCGCATGGCTTTCTGCTTGGAAAGTTCTGGACCTTGCCAAGACAGTTTGGGCTTTAACGTTTGGGTTTCAAGGATTTGTAGAGAAGACGCTGTGAGATTCAGGACTCAACGCTTGCACAATGTAGATACTGTCCCCTCGTAGCCCGTGTTAACTTTACCCCCAAACCCTATCCCACTTTTCTCGGCCCCTGTAGCTGGGTTTAGGGCAAGGTGTCAACAAGGGTCGTTCCGAAGTGGTAAGGGTCGACGAACCCGCAAACACGACCCCTTACACCTAACCCTAAACCCCAAAACCTTGAAGAAGCCTTGAAGATTGAGACCCTGAACGGTTTAGGGTTTAGGGTTTAGGGTTTAGGGTTTAGGGTGAAGCCTTGTAGTTCCATACCCTCAATCCTTGCAGCTCTAACCTCAAGAACTTGGATCTCCAAGCCCCAAAACCGTGAAGCTTAAAGCCCCAAACCCCGAAGTCCAATCTCCCCCAAAATTCATGATTTTGAAGCCAAAAAGTTTCTGCACCCTAAACCGTGCGAACCCAAAAAACCAAAAGTCGGAGGTGGCGATGGCTCCACGTGCTTTTGGGATGGCTTCGCGCGGAAGCGCTTGGCCAAGCTGGGCTCCGTGGCCTTAAGTTTAGGTTTTAGGGTTCTTGGATCTTAGCATGCCAGGCAGAAGAATTTAAGATACCTTCCCGGGGAACTCTTTTTTTTCATCTTTTGAACTCCATGAGCTTTTGGTAAGGAATGAATGGGGCGTTGGGTGTCCAGAGCTTCGGATTTTTGGAGAATAGGCTGTGTATCCTGAGGCAGCCAGTGATGCGACCCGAGCCTCAAGCCTTTGAAGCACGAATCAACCCCGTTGAAGCGCCGTAGAACCCTCAAAACCCCTACCGGCACACAACAACCCTGTACCCCAGAGGCTCCATATATAGTACCATTATGGAATTAGGTCCCAAAAGACCATCCATATCATGGCTTTGGGGGCTTAATTCCATAATGGTACCATATTTGGAGCCTCTATCATAGGGATCCTTAGGGGTGTAGGGGGGAGGGGTGTAGGGGACTATATTTCCTTAAATAGGCCTTATTAGTCCTTATTATGGGCCTTAAGGCCCCCTACCCCCCCTCCCCCTACACCCCTAAGGATCCCTATGACTCTAGGTACGCCATGCAGCACTAAGGCCCCTTTGCAACGAGCCCTTGGACAAGTAATCCTCGAAGGAAGCCGAGTCTGTAAGAATCAAGGCCGCGGTAGTAAAGCCCAGAAGCCCTAAGCCCAAAAAGCCCTTCGGAGAGAATGGGTAAACCCTAAACCCTAAACCCCTACTGCACGGTTAATTTTTTTGGTAAAGCCCCCACAGGCCGACATAGTAAAGCCTCTAAACGTTAAGCTAGCTAGCCCTAAACCCTCACACCCTTCTCCACCTACAAAACCCTAGAAACCCTGTAAACTCCGAACCTCATGAATCAAAATCCGAATTAAGCCCTTTCGAACCCATATTATGGATCCCTTATAGGAACCCTTAAATCGCTTTTGTACAGGAGCCGTGAAGCCTTATGTAAAGCTTCGGAACCCTAGACCCTAAACCCTACACCCTTCGGTTTAGGGTTTAGGGTTCCAGCTCCCGGAGGCTAGACCCTAAACCTAAACCCTAAGCCCTACACCCTTTAGTAAAGCTCCCGAAGGTTCTGATTGGACCTTCAAGTATCACGTAGACCCTAAGCCCTATACCCTGAACTTTGGGCCCTAACCCCACACCTTGAACCCAGAGCCTCCAAAACCCCTTAATTAAGGACTATACCTTAAATCATATTAGGGATCCTATTAGAATTTAAGGTATATTCCCTAATTAAGGGGTTTTGGAGGCTCTGGGAACCCTAAACCAAGGCCCTTTCTCCACGTCCGTCTCGAGCCTCGACTTCTCCGCTGACGGTGCCTTGCTGGCCGTCGCGGCGGCTCGGTCTGCCTCGGAGTTTTCAAGGGCTCCTCTACAGGGGTCCTTTAAAGGGACAGTTTAGGGTTTAGGGCTTTGGGTTTAGGGTTTAGGGTTTTAAAGGGGTCCTTGAAAGGGGTCTATAAGGGCTACTCTACTGGCGATTCTAAGGATTTAGTATAGGGTCCTTAATAGATTAGAATGTCTTTTCAGGGTTCCTTCAAGGGTTTCTTTAAGGGGTGCTTTAAGGGATCCGTTGGGTGCAAGGGGTCCTTTAATGATTACTTTACTTTGGGGCCTTTTGGTTTGTAGGGTTTGGCGTTTGGGTTTCAGGGGTTAGGGTTTAAGGGGGCATTTAGGGCATTATTGGTAGGAGTCAGTGATGTACGGACTCGTGTATTTCAAGCCGTTTGGGCCCACAGACCATGCTTTTGCTTCCGTGCTATTGTGAGGCTTCGGGTGAGAGGGCTTGAGGACTGTTAAACGGGATTGTTTAAGTTTTCTAAGGTTGCTAGGTTTTTGGTTAAAGTTCTTGTGAACAAGGGTCCTCCTCAGGTAGAACAGTTTAAGGATTCAGGTGCCGCTCTGTAGCACATTTTATGGCTTGGTGTACTGTGAAGAAAGTACCACCATACAGTTTGTAACCATATGTAGTTGTTATAAGAACATTAACTCTGAAGCCCTTAGCGCCAACTGCTCAAACCCGATCAAACCATTTCAAAGCCAGCTTTTAAAGTCGTTTTGACACAGTGCTATGAATAGCCTGATGACATCCTTTAATGCCTTTGAGAATCAAGCATGAGAGCACAATGTACGAACCGCACAAGCGTCTTATGGCACCCCTAAGCATGCCCATCATAGAACTTAGGCAACCTAGGTGAACAAGCCTATAAAAGCTTGACACACCCTCTTCTAGCATTCTTTCAAGCAAAGCCGCGTAAAGCCCATGTGAAAGCCTCGTCGAAACTACCTTGCTAAACAAAGGAAAGTCTTAGCGCCATCTCAACCCCAAGTCCTAAACCTCGAACCCTGAAGCCCAAAACCCTACGCTTGACGATATAAATCCTGCATTACCTTAAGGACCCTAAACCCTGAGAACTATGGCTTATACTATTCCTTATTAGGGGGTAATGCAGAATTTATATTATCAACCCTACCAGCCCAACCCTAAAGCCCCCGAAGCCCCTCAACCTTAAACCCTCAACCCTAAAACCCCCTTATTAGGGGTAATGCAGAATTGATATCATCAACCCTGGCCCAGGTTTCCTATGCCTTCGAGGAGGGAGAGCGCTGCCCTCCCCCGGCTTCTCGGCCTCTCAGCCTCCGCGCCCTTCTGCCAGGGCTCACAGGGGTTTGGGAGATAGTGTTGACCTAGAGGCTCCGAAGTATATGGTTCCTTTTTCGGGGTTACCTTATAACCCTAAACCCTAAACCCTAAACTCTAAACCCTAAACCCTAAACCTTAAACCCTAAACCCATATAGGATTCTAAATATGGGGTATCAGCCTTTGGGCCCTTCTGCCAGGGTTTGATAGAGAGGCCTCTATGATTACCAGTAGAAGACGGTTTTGGGGAAAATATTCTGTTTGTAATTATGACAGGGAGCCCCCAAAAAATAGCATGGGTGATTATTTAGGCGCCTATAGTACAGAGGTTTGGGAGGTTAGGGCTTAGGGTTTAGTTTATCAAAGTTAAAGTTTATCCATTCGCTTCTCTCATCCTGTGCCCTTGTTCGTCCTGTGTCCGCTCCTGCTGCTAGTCCTCTCGTTTGTGCTCCCATCTGTCCTCTTATCCTTGCGCACACTATCCTGTTATTTGTCCTTGCATCTCTGCTAAAATTGTGATGATCGATAGATAGATAGCTAGATAGACAGGTAGGTAAATGGATATGTCATACTGGGGCTTGCATCCTTTCCAACATTTTTCTTGGGGTGTCCTGATTAGAATTATGCTATAGCCAACCTTATTCTAGTTGTTATGGCCCGTACCTATAACAGACAATCTCTGCAGCAACCCTTATAGAACCCGTTAAATAAGGAACCCCATACACTACCCCTGGCCAATCGAAGTACAAACAAAGCAAAGGGCGAGCTTCTCTAGGTTTAGGTACCTATAGGACGTGGTTGTCAAAACTCGGGTCCCTTTTTGGGTACCCTAAATATTAGGTGCCGTACTATAATAAGGACCCAAAAGGGACCCTAATTTTGACAACCACCCCTATAGCAAACCTGTCAAGCCCACAAGTGAAAACCACATCAAGGAACCCACGAAGACGAAAAGGAGCCCCTAAGCCCTACACCCCTAGATTTCAGTCTAAAGCGCCTCAAAACATACTCCAACCTGAGGCCATGCACAGCTCCTATAGAATTCTGTTAGACCAACTTTCAAGAGAGGGGGCCGAGCTCCCTAACGGACACCTTGCAGGATCCATTTAGCTATTTTAGCTCCTTTGAGGGTAAAGGGTTCCTTTAAGTGTTCTTCTTAGGGTTCTTTTAGGGTTCCTTGTTCGTCGAGCACCAGACCTTCCAGACCTCACAAAAACCGTTTCCCTTACAGGCCCTTGAGAGAACCCCCAACCCTCAAGCCTAAATCGCAGACCTATACCCTCAATCCCAAACCGTGCTCCCTACACCCTAAACCCCGATCCCTACACCTAAACCCCAGTCCCTAAACCCTGAACCCTAAAACCTAGAAGGTTCCCTCCCTCTTCGTCCGCGCCGTCGAACCGGCGGATGTGCGCCCCAAGGAGGGATAGGAGGCGTTGGTCTGTGTTTCATAGGGTTGATGATATGCTCCGGTCTTAGATTGGGCTTAGGGTTCCTTATTTAGGAGTTGATGATATAAACCCTGCATTACCAAGGAATATACCATAATTCCCATGGTTTAGGGTCCATAAGGTAGGGCAGGATTTATATCATCCGCCGCAGGGCTTCTCACTAGGGCTGGTCTTTGATTCTTGAGATTGGAGTACTTAGTAACAACATGACCATTTTCCGTCCCTATGTCAGTTTTATCAGTTTATCAGTATACAGAAGTACTATGGGAGTTTCCGATAATAGGGCACCCAAATATAGTACCCCAAATAGTAGGATCCTTATTATGGGGACCCCCAAAATAAGGGAGCCCTAATGTTCGGAAACTCGCATATACCCATGAGCCATTTTCCAGATTTCAGGGTTTGTAGAGTTCGAAGGATCCCAATGGCTGGGCTTCCGATCTAGGGTTTAGGGTTTAGGGTTGAGGGTTTAGGGTTTAGGGTTCCGATCTAGGGTTTAGGGTTTCGGATTTCGGGGTTGTTTTCGTGAAGTGCATTATTCGCAACTGGCTATGGATAGTGTCTGTGTTTTCGAGATAGTAGCAGTGAGTTTTTTTGAGCAATTCATGGAAGTGCAGCCATCAGAGCTGAACCTGCCTGTGCTCTTATGTTCAGGCGATTGCACAAGTCCTGGTGCAAAAGAAGGAATTGCAGTTTAGGGTCTCGTGCCCTGCTAGTAATCATAGGAGGCCAAAAGGGGTTGTAGCCTATGGGGGCTTAGCAGGGATTAGGGTTCCCATAGTAGGGTTCATACCCCAAGAATCTTAAACCCCCAAGAAAAAATACAAGCGTCCTAGAGCCAAGATTCTCCTGAGGCCGATCCGAAAGCATATTCAAGCCCTTTCGAACCGCTTACACCCTGATGGAAGAGATATGGCATCAGAAGCAGCCGATTCAACAAACCGTATTGCGTCTGATACTTCAGGCCCCTTCAACCCTGAACCCTAAACCCTAAACCCTAAACCCCTAAACCCTAAACCTAAACCCTAAACCCTAAACCCTAAACCCTAAACCCTAAATCCTAAACCCTAAACCCTAAACCCGGAACCTAAGCTTTAGGAATCAAGCCCTCTAAACTCCTTCTCCGAAGCCCTAACCCTTGCTTCATGCAGGAAATATGCTTGAATTTCTAGGTACCCCATCTAACTAAACAAGAACCCTAAGCCCTAAACCCTAACCCCTAAATCCCTAAACCCCAAACCCAAACCCCGAAACCCCTCAACTCCTCAACCCTCCCTAAACCCTAAACTCCGCCCCTACCTGTTCCATGTGACCTTCTGGCCGAGACGTCGCGGATCAGTTGGAAAAAGGAGCCTCCCCCCCAAAAAAAATACTCCGCCCCTAAACCCTGAAACCTTAACTCCTTGCCACCCGGGAGGCGCCCGCGGCAGAATTCGCCCAGAGGGCGGCGCGATCCCGGCAGGGTCTAGTTTTTTGGGGATCTCTGAGGCTCTTTTAGATTTAGAGAATTTTGCCATAGTCTTTTCAGGTTTTATGCACTTTTATGTGGGTCTTTAGGATTTGGGAGTTTAGAACGCATACGGTTGAGGTTTTGGGGTTCGCGCGGTTACTGGGAAAGGTTACGTGGGTTCGCACAAGCAGCTCTCCTGTTGTCAGCTAAGTACACGATCTACGGACAGAAGCACTCCTGGGCCGCTTCTACATGTGAGGTGCCCTACCTTAAAAACCTAAGATTTGAAACATAAACCGTAACTTCATCCGAATGCGTGCAGCGTAAAGAAGGATGCATGGGGTTCTGGAAACTTCACATCGTAAGACCCCAAGTGGGAAGATCCTTCTTACAAGGACCCTGCAAAAGAATATGCGAGTTACGAAAATAGGGGACCCTAAGATAGTACCTTAAATAGTAGGATCCTTTGTATAAGGATCCCAAAACAAAGTACCCGTAGTTTTGGGAAACTCCCATATACCACTCTCCTGAAACCGTGAGCCGTACAGTTTCGTGACGATTTTCGAGGCGGCATCGTTTGTCTTGCTTTGGGCCTTTACATCCACGCCTCAGAGATCCATTTAAATTAGCAGTGTGACGCCTTGGCCGAGACTTGGTCCTGAATGTCGCAGCCTTGAGTTTCTACAGGCATTTGGGTTTAGCAGTTTAACGGTTGCGCTACGTGGGGCTTTAGGGGTATAGGTTGTTCTTGGGTTTCGGGTATTAGGGTACAGAGCCGAAATCGACAACACAATTAGTGTAGAGCTATTTGCAACGGCTATTTGCAACGAAGTTTTAGGTCGTCTGATCATCTAAGTAAACGCTCCAGTCCTGAACCTTAAACTCCAAAGCCTAACGGCTTGGGGCCGGGACGCACAAATTTACTCCGTACCGGACCTGCTCTTGTCAAGCTCCAAGCCAATACCCAGCAGAGGGATCTGAATAATGCGTACTTAAAGGCTCATGGGACTTAGTAAGTAAGGTTACAAGTAGGTTATAATTAGGATAACCCCATTTAGGGGACTTATAACTCCAATTATAACCTACTTACTAAGTCCCACGATCCTCTAAGTAGTAGAAATCATGGGGCTTCACCTTTTTTCTCACGTGATAGGAATCCCTAGGAATCCCCCAAACTCCAGAGACAAGACCTGAGCTGTAGGAAAGATGTCGGTAGCCCCCATGGTGGTCTCTTGTCGTAGGTCCGAGGAACGCTTCGTTGCACGCCTGCATCTGCAAAAATGGTTCGAGTTCAAGGGCGTTGGGCATTGGCTTTTGTGGTTGGAGTGTTGCCGTGTTTTTTCGTATGACCAGTGTATTAGTAGCCGTGGCGATGATGATGGCGGATAGCGTATTGTTGGCGGCGTTGGTTCATCAACAAGCAGCACTCCCATAAAAAGAAGCTGCAGACAGTTAGCAGCGGTTCAGATTTGGGCTTCGTGTTTTTGAGGGTTTCGGGGTCAAGGCAAAGGGTTCAGGATTTAGGAATCGAAGCGCCTCACCCCATCACTACAGTGAGAGCCATCTTGTGAAAATCTAAACCTGGAGACCCTTAGAATCCCCCAAACCTAAACACCGCACTTTCCTCCTCTATCGGCCTCAAGCAGGCCGGCGTGGTTCGGAGAAAGGGCTCGTCACCATAGCTAAACAAAAGCATGTACTTTCCAGACGTGGACCCTGAATGGGGACGTCGTTTCCACCATACCAGGAATTGGTTTTACTCTCAAGGTTTTAGCGTTTTAGGCAAGGGGTTGGGGGTTTAGGGCTTGTAGGGCTGATAAGTGCTCGGGGTATAGCAGATGACACACAACAGCGGAGGCTATATTCTCCGGTGGACGTTGCCTAAGTTCTATAGATATATGGAACTTCGGTTTCCCACAACGACCCATGCTTCGTAACGAATTGCGCTTTCCACAAGCACAAGAAAGATCACATCCCTGTCACATCCTGTGGAGGTTTAGGGTTTAGGGAAGTCTACCCCATGATTACGTAGCTCCGAGAAAATTCTAGAATTTTGAGCTCTCAGCCCCTTGCAAAGCTTGGTAAAGGCCCTGCCAAACCCTTAAGATACTCCTTCACCCTCTAAGCCCTAAACCCTAAACCTCTCAAGCAGGTTGGAAAAGAGGCACTTAAAAAAAACCCTCTCAAGCTAATTAGTACTCCGGTACTCCGGGAACCTCATCCGTAAAGCCGCACCTTGCACCTTCGGACCGGCCTGGGCTTAAGCTGCACAAGTTCGCTTGAATGGAGCGTGGCTTCAGAATGTACGAATTTTGCACCAACTTCAAGCCCTGCGGGTTAATGCAGAAGCCTGAATCTTATAGTCCATGACATAAACATACTACAATATGCCCCAAACCCTATTCTAATTCTTCAAGCTTTCGGCGAAACAGCCCTGGCAGCGCAAGCGGTCGGACTTTGTTGCAAGATGTGGTCATTATGACGTAGTTCTACTACTAGGAGCAGTATGTACTGGTACGAAAACCCACCTTACGGCAGGATTACCTATAACCTGTTGAAGGAATGTAAGTTTTTACCTAGACCCTGAACCCTAAACCCTAAATCCCAATTTTACCTATATATAATAACTACCCAAGACCCCGTGATCGAGCAAGCAATCTTCCAGAGTTTCGACTCTGATTCATCATGTGTGGGCGTTTCTGCGGCTGAGCAGAGTCGGAGCCAGGCGGATATCGCAAAGGGCGAGGGATTGTCGAGTTAAGCGGTTCCAGGTTTCCAGGGTTCTGTGGTGTTTGTGGTTGATTGGATTGGGTAAAAAAAGGCAATCATGGCATACGCCAGCTCTTTTCTGGGGGGCATTACAGGAGACGGACTAGAACAAGTGTTGTGGTGCATCTTTACGGCTAAGGCACAGCAAGGTTGTTTGGCCGAAGTTGCTGCCCTGATCCAGCAACCGATAGCTTTTGCTGGTTCATGGGCAGGGCTTGTGTCTGCGTTGTATTGGGGTTTAGGGTCTAGTCTTTAGAATATGTAGTCCGCAGAGTCCGCAGTTTAGGGATTAGGGTTACTTGGTGTCGTACTCTTGCAATGAGAGCTCTGCAGGCCCTAAACCGGGCGCCCATAATCGGTTGAGCGTTTGTAGGGTTCTTGAAGGCTTTTTGTTTGTTGTTTGTCACGGGTTCTATTCCGGATCCGGTCGGGGCCGTGTTGGGATGAAGGGTTTGTGGTGGGCATGGGCTAGATTTGAGACAGGGTTTACTTAAAGGACTATGGGACTTAGTAACGAGGTCACTAGGGTCATAGTTAGGGCTATAATTTAGATAACTATTACTATACCTGTAATTACTTATAACCCCACGTAAGGTGCTTATACTAAGTCCCATGGTCCTCCAAGTACGGGTCAGGATTTCGGGTTCCTTAGGGTTTGTGGCTTCGGGTTTGAGATTCAGTCAAAGGGGAAAAGGAAGGACCCTTAATGGGGACCCCTACCCTATAATGATATATATATATATATATATTTATTTATTTATCTATATCTATATATATAATGGGTATATAATAGCTATATTAAGGGTATATACCTAGGGGTCCTTATTAAGGGTCCCTCCTTTTACCCTTGGATTCAGGCATCTGAGCTCCGGACCTTCAGTTCCAAGGCTTCGGGGGCAGAGAGTTAAGGGCTGAGGGTTCGGGGTTGGTTTGAGGTTCAGGGTCGACTTCCCGGGTTCACTCAAGATTATTGGGTATAACTGTATAACCCAAAGTAAGGGGCCTTTGTAAACCCCACTTATGATTGAGATTGCGAGGTAAACCCCGCATTAATGGACCTATAAAGGATACAGGCTCATCGAAGCCGGCATCCGATCGGGACATGGACGCAAAGAGCGATTTGCAGAACCTCAGAAGCTGGGTCAGGCAGCAGGGAATGTTCCATCAGAACCCATGGCCCATCACGGAGAGTCAATGTCTGTGATCCTATCATTGGTGAAATGGTACAGGTGGAAGCACGCCTCCGAAGCCGGTGCCTCTCGCAGAACAAAGCCTTGCGCAACTTATCTGCGGCCTTGGCAGTGGCCCTGAAGGTAGGCTGCAGCTGGGGGTTGTTCTAAATTACGGTCCCTTTTGGGGTACCCTTTATAATAAGGACTATACTACTATAGGGCCCAAAAAGGGACCATAATTTAGAACAGCCCCCAGCTGCCGATGGCCCCGACCTCGACTTCGCCTTCGCCTTCGACAACGGCCCCGGCGCTGGGAGCCGAGCACCTTGCCCACAAACCTTCAATCTTAAACTCAATGGTTTAGGGTTTAGGGTTTAGGGTTTAAGGTTTAGGGGGGTTTAGGGTTTAGGGTTTAGGGGGGTTTAGGGTTTAGGGGGGTTTAGGGTTTAGGGTTTAGGGTCTACCTGGGCGGACCGGTCGGATCGGGCGGGGGCGGCTACCTGGGCGGATCGGATGCCCTGGCCTCCCTTCTTGAAGCACAGATCCTTGCCTATTTTAACCCAAAACCCAAAACCCTAAACCGCAAACCCTAAACTCTAAACTCTAAAGCTTAAACCCAAAACCCTAAACTCTAATCTGTAAACCTACTTTCGACAGTGTACTTATGCATGCCTACCGTCCCCCGAGCCTGACACAACCCTACAGAATCCGCAGCATTTCCAGAAGCATCCCTTACAAAAAGATACCGGTAGAGCCCCCCCCACTCCCTGGCAACTGTAGAAACCTTGACAAACCCTTGGACTTCAAGAGACACATCGCCCCAGACCCTAATCATAAACCCCAAGCCCCTTAACCCCTAAACCCTTGAACCCTAAACCCCGAAACCCCTGAACCCTCCACCCCAAACAGAACCCTGAAAAGAAACCTTCCTTTTGAGGGTTCCGTATTCTGATTTCCTTATATAAGTCCTTAAAAAGGTAGGTTGCTAGGTGTCTAGGTACACTAAACCCTAAACCCCTAAACCCCTAAACCCCTAAACCCCTAAACCCTAAACCCCTAAACCCTAAACCCCTAAACCCCTAAACCCCTAAACCCCTAAACCCTCTAAGACCCTCGCAGGTCGCGACCCAAAAATGGGTCTTTGCCAGTGCCGGCGGCCCAATGATCGCGAGCCCTGGGAGCTCCCGGCTTCGTCAGACGTTGGCGTTTTGGGGCGTTTTGGGGCTTAGGGCTTGGGGTTTAGGGTTTAGGGTTTAGGGTTTAGGGTTTAGGGTTTAGGATTTAGGGTTTAGGGTTTAGGGCTTAGGGCTTTGGGTTTAGGGTTTAAGGTTTAGGGTTTAGGGTTTAGGCTTTAGGGTTTAGGCTTTAGGGTTTAGGATTTAGGGTTTAGGGCTTAGGGTTTAGGGTTTAGGGATTAGGGATTAGGGTTTAGGGCCTCTTTCTTTAAAGGGTTCCTTCAAGGGGTCCATACGGGTACTATATAAAGGGGTGTTGGGGAGTTTCATAGTGTTTAGTGGCATTTACAGAATTTCGGGTTAGGGTTAACTTAGTTGAGGGTTTGCAGACTTGGGTGTAGGGGATTGTTGAGCCTAAGGAATAGTATTCGTTATTGAGGCTTCCATATTTGGCTTACGGTGTCACGTGTTGGGGACGTTCAATTACAGGGTTCAGTGGAGGGTTCAGGTTGAGAGTGCAGGTGAGCCTCCCCAGAAGGTTGGACGATGGGTTGAGGATGATTAGTGCTGGATTTCCTAGTCTTTGTATGAAAGATGTGAGGATGATGACGTTCTAACGCTCTGTCCTGTAAGAGTTTAGGGATTTAGGGTTTTAGGGGTTCAGGGTTTAGGTCTGGGTTTTGGGGGCTAGGGCTGAAGGGTTTAGGATGTTCTAGAGGATTTTATGAGGGTTTTACAGCATGCTACTCTTCAAACCGACGCAGAGATCGAACTACTCCTCGTGTCACGCCTCGTGTTTCGGCTCGGAACAAGCGCGGTGCCCGTTTGAAATTCACCACCCTTTTGGTGCTTCGCACAAACGCGGGCGCTAGAAGGAACGGAGGCGTGCCGGAGGGCTCATACTCAGAGGTTCCACTAATTAGGAATACACCTCAGACTTCGCAGAGCGTCGTGTGTCGCCGGTTTGGTGTCATGCCCCATGTGTTGGGATAGGGCTCAGGGCCAAGGGAATTCGGGGTCGACGAGATTTTGGGGCTAGGGCTTAGCCTACCGGTTCTTCTATGGATGCAAAAAGTCAACCCTGCAATGGAGAACTATCCATCTGGCACAGGCACGTCCTAGTTCAAGTTCCCTAGAATCACCTCTGAATCATATGCAGTCATCCGTAGTATTCATCAACATTATTTACGCTGAGCATCAACTTAAAGCGATGCCGCCCAAGTCGTACGGCACATTGAGCATGTTCCATGAGCTGTTTATGCTTGGAGTTCAGCCCAAACCCTAAAACCCTAGACCCTGAACCCTAGAAACCTTCTATCCCCCCCACTGCAGCAAAAGAATAAATAATCCATTGGACCTTCAACCCTATAACAGCAGGATTTAGAGTCTAATGTGAGGCTCGGAACAATTAGTACGAATATGACCCCTCATATACCCCTACACCCTATCCCACCCTAAAGCATTAAACCCTAAACCCCCAAATCCTTAACCTCACACCCAGATCTAATCCTGGAGCTCATGAACACAGAAGCTTGAAACCACGCAGAGCCTCGGTGTTTGAAAGGATGCAGACGATCTTTACGTGCGTTCGGCGGCGTGGCAGAACTGCGGACTTTGCATGTGCTTTTGGGGTTCTAGGGCCTTGTCTTTTGGGAGGCCATGTGGCACGGATCGGGTATTGTGGTTTTGGAATTTAGGAATTAGGGTTAGACGCCTTAGGTTCGGAAGTTGAGGGTTTAGGGTTTAGGGGTTCAGTTTAGATTATAAAGAGCCCGCCCTGACCTAATAATGAGGTTCCTGAAGACGGAAGTCTCAACGAATCGAAGACGAGTTTTTGAGCCGTCGCCCCAGTTGCCCTAACATCCCAAAGTAGTAAACCCTCAACCTTGCACACTCTACCTTATGAACTCCAAAACCTGCAGCTAAGCCGAAGCCTGAAACATCAAAGCCTTATCCGCCTTTGTGTTCCGGTGTCTTACCAAGGCCACGACGTGCCGAGATGCCCCTAAGCCGCTTGGCTCCAACTTAGGGTTTGGGTTTGCGTAGCAGAGATTTTTCATATTGATTAGAGTTCAAGGTTCTCGGCTTGGCGTTAGGGGCTCTGTTACTGTCCGGGTTTAGGTTTTGTTGTGTAGGTTCTAGGGTTTGGGGTTTGGGGCTGATGGCTTAAAGCCCTCCCCAAAACCATCAGCCGTAGAGTCTAGCCGGTCATTTAGGGCTTCGGGCCTTTGATTCTTGGTACCCAAGCAAACTCGCATCGAAATGCTGGGACACAACGAAAGACCAAGCTCTGAAGATGAATTCATTGAGTCCAAAGAGCTGGAGTAATCTAAAACGGTGAATTTTTCTTTCGTAGCCCATGTGCATGTTCCGCATGCCTTGAGACTCCCCGTTTGCTAGACGGCGCAAAATTTGAACGTCTAAACCCTAGACCCTGCGCAGGCCTGACATCTGAACCCGACCAGTATGCGTATATAGTACCTTTATGGCCCTCTTAAGGGAACTCTTGAAAGGAACCTTGGGTACTGCCCCCACTCAGTAGCAGTTTTATAATATTCATAATATAGATATATTAGGACCTCAATAGTAGCCCTATATTAGACTGTTACTGTAAGGGGGCAGTACCCAAAAGGAACCCCTATGAACCCCACACCTAGAGAAATCGCCCAAATTGGTATCTAATACCTTCATGCCTTTATGGCCCTCATAAAGGATCCCTTAAAGGAGCCCCAGAGCCCTAAGCCTACAAACCCTAAACCCTAAAGAAATCTCCCAAAGGCGCGATACCTGAGACGTCCTCTGAGTGCTCGGCGGACACAGCCGACTCAGAGTCGTTCAAAGGCACCGAGGCTTGGGTGGCGTTTAGTGTTTAGGGTTTAGGGTTTAGGGGTTTAGGGTTTAGGGTTTAGGGTTTACGGGTTTAGGGTTTAGGGGTTTAGGGTTTAGGGTTTAGGGTTTAGGGTTTGGATGGAGGGTTAAGAGGGCTTAGGGTTTAAGGGGTTTGCGTGGCTTGTAGTTAGGTGGGAGCTAAGGGCTTTTTTGTAGATAGGGTTTAGGGGTGAAGGGGGTTTAATTAAGGAGGGGTTTTGAAGTTGGGTTTAGGAGTTCGGGGGGTCAGGGCCTTACCTGAACCCGGAAAGCCGTAAATCGTAAAGCCCCCAATTCAACTCTCGCAAGCCCGAGCTCAGGATCTTTCGCTGAACACACGACAGTGCTCCGGCGAATCTTGGAATGCAGCTTGCAGCCAGGGTTGAGGGGCTTGGGCAGTTTGGGTGCTCTCCTAAACCCTAACCCTGAACCCTTACCCCGAAACCCCAAACCCTAAACTCTAAGCACAAAAATTAAGCCCACATCCTGCAGCCTAGACCTTAGATATTAACCCTGCACGGCTCTACACGTATTGAAGCCCTAAACGCCGAACATCCAGCCCGAAAGGGAGCCCTGCCTCACTGCTTAGGTTTAGGGTTTAAGGTTATCATGCCCCACGGCCTAAGCAGGCAAATCCCGTAAACCCGAAGTCCCAAAATCTAAGCCCCGACCGCACGTCAACCCCTCTCTAGTTGCCCGGCCGAAAAATCGACGTGGACAGCATGGGGTGACATGGCTTGTGTGTGATGCAGCTGTATGCTGTCAAATGTTGAGGATGTTGTCCTTAGGACGCCATTGCGCCGGACAACCTCGTAACATGAAACCGCTGAGGGAAATAGAAACTTAGAAACCCTTAACCCTGTAAGCCCCAAACCCGTCAATCCTATGGTAAGCAGTGAACCCAGTAGAAGCCTTAAACCCTAAACTCCCAGAGCTCTGAACGAAGGACACCTGGAACTCAGGCAAGAGCCTGGCACTCAGAGGAGGGAACTCAGGCAGACTTCATTTCGTTACAAGTGCGGTTCAGGGTTTAGGCTTTTTTGTTTACAAGTGTGGTTCAGGGTTTAGGATCTAGGGTTAGCGTTGTAGCGGGTCTAAGGCGTCAAGGTTTAAACGCAGTCATAAGCAGGCGACTTCTTAGCCAAAAAGGGTCTAGGCGAGTGTAGTTGATCGGACTTTCAGGTGTAGGGCATGTTCAGGGTGCCTACGCACCAAAGTTTTAATGCTTGCGCCGCCACCCTAAAGCCCTAAAGCATCAAACCCTATAAACCCTCAAGCCTGAAACCCTCAACCTTGAACCCTAAACCCTAAACCCTAAACCTCTAAAGCCCTAAAGCCCCATTTTCTGAGGAATCCTAAGCCCTAATGCCTAAAGGCTGAAAGCCGAAGCCCTAAACGCCGAAGTCAATACAACGATGGGCTTCGGGTCTTTCGCTGCGTTGAGGTGGAAAGAGCTGCGATTCCACGCGTGACCCGGCTCCGCTGTTTGGGGTTTAAGCTGGGGTTCAGGCCCAAAGCTTAGGGCTTGTCGGTTCCAGAGTAAAAGACAGAAAACTACGTGTAGAATGTAGGGGTTCCGGGGTTTGGAGCAGTAGGGCTTTTGCAGTACAGGGTCGTTCTGTTTGTTGTGGAGGCTCCCACCTGTGAAACTCGACCTTGCATTGCCCACATCGTTAACGCAAACGATCTCTGAACCGTTCAGAGCCCTGAACATACCACTTATGGAGGCATCTTTGCCTTTTAAAGCCCTTCAAGTGCCCCAAAGAAACTCCTTTTCCATAGCATCCTCAGAGACCCCCCCCCCCCCATATCCACCAACCTTGAAAGAATAGCTTTGCTTTTGGTGCTTTGACATACGGTCGGCCACGGACACAATGCGCATTAGCGTTCCCGGGTTCAGGCGCAATTTGAAGGCAACCCTGCTGTTATTGCTATTATTGTTATTACTATTGTTGTTATCGTTGCTATTATGTTATTAATTAATGCCAAAATGTTATTATTTTTATTTCTTCTTCTTATCATGGTTCCTACTGTTAAGGTAGGGCCCATAAGTATTTCAACCCAGGCCCCATGACAATCCCTTGTGTAAGGTTTTGGCCCCATAACCTTGAACCATATACAGTAGAAGCCAGAAAGTTGGAACATCATTATCCTCATGCCCTTAAGGTAAAGTATAAGGGATTCTAGCACTAATCCTCCTAAAGCCATGTTCCAACTTTCTGGCTTCTACTATAAGCACTGTGTGAGGACATGCCCTGATTGGAACTCGCTACAAGAGGGTTCGCTGTTTTAGGCATGCCCCCACTCAGTAACAGTTGAATAATATTCATACAAAAAAGGACCTCAATCGTGGCCGTTGTAGACTGCTACTGTATGGGGGCTAGTACCAAAATGATGGTATACAGCTTTGCAGGGTATTTTAGAGACTGTAGGCGGATGCGATTACAGACAAAGTCTTTCGGGATGGGTTTCTAGAAGCAAAGGTGACCTGCAATGATTACTTAGATCTCCAATACCCAACCTTCAAACTTTTTGGGTTCTTGTAGTTTAGTAGGAACCGGAAAGTTTAGCCTTCTATTTCTGTGGCTTATTGGGGTAGTAAGATTACGTCCAAAACCACGTGCTGGAATCTCTCCGAGGCAGCAAGACTGACCGAATCATCAAGGAGCATCGGAAGAAGCTCTTGAAAGAAGGCCACTTTGGGGCACTAGGGGTTTGTGTTCTGGGTTGATTACTTCCTACGGGAGTTACTGTAGAAGAGTCCTGTAATGGAGCGTAGGATTATAAGGTACAGGGTTCTAGGATCTTGGGCTTTTGTATCTTGGAGTTTAAGGTTTTAAGGTTCAGGGCGCTGCCAGACGGTTGTTAGTTCGTCCCGCTGTTGATTTGGGGGCTGTGAGAACCCGATATTAGTACTACAGAAACCTGAGTTTCCGGCCGGGCCGAGGCGTTTGGTCTCAAGCCTAGCTCCCTCATCCCGAAACCCTGAATCCTAATCCTTAAGCCCTAAGCCTCCAAACCTCATGCCCAGGAGTGGCCATTGCCAAGTTCCTGGAGAAGAACGGTTTCAAAAGGTGGGGCGGGGCGGCAGGTTCTATAGCCTGATGCTCAAACAGAGGTGATCTTTAGTTAGGGCTTAGGCTTTAGGATCTTAAGTTATGGTTTAGGCTTTAGGGTCTAGGGTTCAGGGTTTCGGGCCCCTTTTGTGGTTGGCGGATCCTTATCATGGATCGTGCAACTTGCGGTTCATATTGGGGTCGCTTATGATCTGAAACTCCCATATCTTGCAGGCACGGACACTTCCCCGGTCACTCCGCAACTTCCCTAAATCCAAACCTAAACCAGGCCGCCAAACAAGAACCTGAAAGACAAGGATCCTAGTTTGGGGTAATACGGGGGCCTGCGACGAAGGGGTTTCCAAACACCTTCATCATGAGATCCGTTATTTCCGGGCGCTTTGAAAAGCCCGTCTAGACACCTTAACCCCAGAAGTGCCTGGTGAGCCCATATGCCCTAAAACCTACCTGGACCTTAAGAGAAACCCACGTTTTTAGGGTTCCTTAATATGGTTTCTTTATATAAAGTCGATAAAAAAGTGGACCTTAATAGAAACCTACGTTTTTAGGGTTCCTTAATATGGTTTCTTTTTATGAAGTCCATAAAAAAGTAGGCTATCTTGCGGTTCAAAAAAACGCAGACCTTCAACCCGAAATCCGAAAACTCTAAACCCTAAACCCTAAACCTTAACCCCAAATCCGAAAACTCGAGATCTCTTCAAGAGCCGAAGTTGAAGCCGAAGCCCTCCACTTAGGCGTACTTAGAAATATTTTTAAATTTTTGTTTATATTGATCCCTAAGAAACAGCTAAAATTGTGTCTAGACAAGACAAAATTTGGTTATTGTAATCCCTAAGAAACAGCTAAACTTGTAATTTTGGCTAGGGTTCTAAGTTCAGTATAGTCCACGCCAACAGGCATTCGTAACATCTTACCAAGAGGGTCCATGCATGGATGGTCTTTTGGGACCTACAAGTCCATAATAGTAGTATAAAGCCCGCAGTGGGTTTAGGGTCATGTATACTACTACCTTGGAATTAGGTTTCCAAAGTCATGATTAGGATCGTCTTTCGGGACCTACTTCCATAATAGTAATTTAAAGCCCTCAGTGGGTTTAGGGTTTAGGGTTTAGGTCAGCTCCAAGCCGAGAACCTAACCAGAAGCCCTCAACCGCTTAGCCAGCTCGGGTCGACAAGATGCGGGACTTAGGGACCAAAAAGGCACATAAGCATAAGCATTTTATAGGTACATCTCTACCTTGATGGGCTTGATTATGAGGGGGTTTATATGAAGGGACTCAGCAAACACCGTGCCGTTCAGCCTGACCCTCTCTTACCCCCATCCTCTTAGAATGCTTGTAGATTGATGGACCCATAGAAATGGGAGCCCTCTGAAGCCTACGCTAGATATTTACGAAACCTTGAGCCCTAGACCCGCAAACTTAAACTGCCCAATCCTAAACCTTCCCTGGTGAAAATGCTCTTGGCCTCTTCATGGTGCTTGTTCAACGGGCCTTTCCCAAAATCGCCATGTTGTAGGGTTTTTGTTTCGGTTGGATCACCTCTGAGGCGACTTTTCCTACTGGCCCCGCCGCAAAGGATCCTTTACAACAAGTCTTAAGGCTGAGACTGATATTAGCAAGTTGCCAACGACATCTTTGGCTTCCACAACCTTCAACAGCTCTTCCCGTATCAGTCGCTTTAGGACAGCAAGTCGTTCCACAGGTCCCCGCCGTCGTATTCGGTGCATCTAAACTCTAAACCGTAAGCCCTAAAGCCCTAAACCCTGAACCTTAAGGCCCCATAGCCCTGAACATTCATAGTGATTTTATGCACAACTGGCTTTGGGATCCCTGAAGCTTCAGCCCTCAACCCTCGACCCGAATGCAGGGTCGATGTGAACTGACTCTTGGTCGCGATGAGATCAGACTGGTTTAGGGGTTTGGGTTTACAGTTTGGTGTCTTTGAAGGCTCTGTTGGAAGGCTGGTTCATTTCCCTCCAAGCCCCATTAATATGTACCATGGGGTCGCAAGGGATTCATCATACTCAGGTTTGCAGAGGATGTTGTGGGGCTATTACTTCTTGTGTTTGCAACTTGCGCTGCACTGTTGAGGCATTTGTGCGATTGAGTGCTTTGGACCTGTCCCAGACCCTAGACCCTAAGTTCGGACGACTCCCCAAATCCGAAGCCCCTCGCCGAAAAGCGACTGCGGGATAAGCCAAAACCCTTGACCCTGAAGCCTATTCCCAAGACCCGCAGCACAAACCCCAAAGCCTGAACCCTTAATATAGGTTCTTAGAATAGGGTTTGGGGGTATATTATACCATAAATTAAATAAGGAGCCCCTAAAATACTATAGGTTATCTAGGCTCCCCCATGGTAACCCTAAACTCTAAATCCCTGTGAGGTCCCTGTCTGCCATAGCATCTTCCGTTTCAGCGGAGAAAGACAAGCAGAAATGGCAGAGTCATCAGAGCATGATATAGGGGCCAGAATAAATACCTGCACTATTTTGGGGTTCTTTGTTATAATTACAGAATAATGGGCCCCAGAAGCTTATTCTGATTATTAAGGCCCCTATATTGGAGATGACTGGAGAGCTGCGCAGAAGGTTTAGGTTCTCCGGCAAGGAGAACCCGGATTTCCTCCGCAGCCAGCTTAGGGCAGCCAAACCGGGACAGTCTCAAAGGACACGCTGAGGCTCTTGATGGAACAATAGTCCCGTGGCAGCTCTGGCAGGGATCCCTAAACCCAAACCCTACTAAACCCAAAACCCCAAACCCTATGTCGGCCTCCGTCGAACACTGTCCATCCGGGACCTGTCCAGCGTTGTCACCTGGGTACACATTCCACGGCTCGGCTCGAAAACCAAAGCTACAGTCTTCTTAGGAATTGTTTTTGTAGTTTGTTCATATAACAAGGGGGGTATAGAAAGGCCTGGAATGTCGAGCACGATGAAGGAGATCATCCTCCGGGGGATCGGGGTAGCCGAAGAGGCCATGTTGAGAGCATTCAGGAAAGTCGACGCCTACCACGAAGGGAAGGCACTTTATGCTGAGCACCATGCTTCCCCTTTCTGGGATTGGTAGCAGTCGGTCACCTTGAACACGCCGGCTGACCCTCCCGTTCGACAACGGCTGATCTAAATCCTGAACCTAAACCCCTAAACCCTAGTTCCTATAGTCTCCTGAAGAGGCATTTCTCAGTTTTGTTCATATAAAGCCCAGGAGAATATTGGAAATGCTATTTTCATTATGGGGGGTATATCATAAGGACCCTTAGGGGGACTTGATAAGCCCGATTTAAGGAAGTATAGTCCCCTACCCGCCCAAGGGTCCCTATGAGTATAGGTTCACGGCAAAACCCTAAACCCCCTCCCCCTACCCTAAGGGTCCCTATGAGCCCAGACCTTCCAAAATCCCTCAATTAAGGAATATATCCCTCAAATTATAGTAGGATCCTTAATATGATTTAAGGTATATTCCTTAGTTAAGGGATTTTGGAAGGTCCGGGAGTGTAGGTTCATGGCTACTTTGGGTTTGGGGGAGGACCTTGAGGCCCTGTCAACGTTGAACCCGAGCTTCCAACATACTTAAGGAACACACCCCGGAGGGTTCCTTTCAGGGCTCTTTAAATGGATCGATAAGGGACTATCAGGGAACTAAGGAACATACGTTAAACCATATTATAGCATAGGGGCCGAAGTAATTACCAATACTCTTTTAGGGGTTCCTTGTGATCCCAAAACCCTATTCTGATTGATTGCGGCCCCTATACTACGTACCAGAAGTCATATGAGGGACCTTACTAAAAAATATGGTATATTGGACGAACTAAACCCAGAGGCACAGTTTGTGCAGCTCAGACACTAAGGCTTTAGGGTTTAGGGTGTTCAGGTCAGGGTTTAGGGTCTAGAGTGTTCAGGGTGTTTAGCTCAGCGTGTTCAGAGTGTTTAGTTTAGGGTGTTTTGGGTTTAGGATTTAGACCTCAACGGCGAAGCCACTCTCTCGCACACAAGAGCCCTTCTGCAAAGACCTCTCGGAGCACGACGCTTTCAAAGCCCTTAATAAGCTCCGAAAGTCTTTTCTCCATCACCCGAAATCCTAGATCTGAAACCCCAAACCCTAAAACGGAAGCCATTACAAGAAGCTAGACCTCAAACCCTGATAAAGCTCTCTAAGCTAAGCACAACCCGTAAACGTTAAACCACTGCAAACCTCTCTAAGCTAAAAGCAACCCTTAAGCGTCCAGGCCCGAAGCCTGTGCTGTGGTGCCTGAGGGGCACTTATCCACTGCGTCCTTGCCGAAATTCATCCGGCGTTTAGGTTTCGGGCTTACGGTTTGAGGGGGGTTGTTAAAGTTTGAGGTTCCTTTATCGATTCTTTCGAGGGTTTAAGCTTTATAGGGTTTACTGTGTCCTTTGCAGGGTTGCTTGAAGGCTTCATGTCAAGGTTCCTTTACGGGTTCCTTTGCTTAAGTTGAGGGTAATGGTGCTTATCTGAGGGTTCCCCGTCCCCTAACCCTTAACCCTCAACCCTGTTCGGGGTTTAGTTTTCCAGGGCTTTAGAGGTTTTTTGGCGAAGGGGGCTTTAGGAGCGCAGGGTTTAGATTTGCGGATTCGGGGTTTCAGGTTCAATTTAGCTTGGTCCTGGTAATGCATAATAGTTAATGAGCAACTGGGGTGGTTCTGAAGTTTCGGTTTCAACAATAATAGGTGGTAGGGACGATCGGGAATGCAGCTCCTCACAAACGGAAAACTGACCAACCTAGCTGATGGCTTGGGGTTTAGGGGTTTGGTGTTTAGGGTTTACGGTCTTCGTCGGGACTTAAAGAAAGACCCACAAAGCGCAAGTTCTGGTAGCTTCAAGTGAGCCCTGCACCCCAATTAAGTGGGTAGTTTCCCAAATTAAGTGGGAAAATTAGGGATTCTTTCCAGGTGTCTTTTTGTAACGGTGCCGTACTATCCTGGGGACCTAAAGCTTTTAAAATGACACCCTAAGTTAGCGAACTACCCATGTTCTGAACCAGCAGGCACGAGGCTGTGAGCCAGAACAACGCAGCTACTTGGCCGCGAAACGGTTTGGGCTTTCAGGTAAGGGGCCTTCGTGTGAAGCCTTCAGAAGCCTGTATGCCCGAGAATCGCCACAGAACCTGAAGTCAGATTCTAAATTCTACCGTTAAACCATGGTTTTCCTTCGGCAGAGTTTTCATGGTTTTCAGTTTCATTTCAGTATGAAGAAAGGTGCGTATTGCTCCTACACCTACTGTTGTAACTACAAAAATTAGTGCTCGTACTGTTTTGACTACTACTGATGTAGATTTATCTCATACATAGTAGGCAGATATATATATATATATATATATACATATCTATTCACCTGTTATATCTAGGTCGGACCGGGGGGCTCGCAGAACCCTGCGCTCTAATGCTGGCGGTTTGGGTCCGAAGCGGCGAGCAGACGGATCATTTATAATGTACTAAAATAGAACATAATACGGTATAATACAATACAGTATGTCGTGATACAATATAGTATAACCTACTGTTCATGGTATGGTATATCATAAGATCATACGAAGGTTTGGACAGTTAGGGTTTGCTTTGGGGTTTAGAGTAAAGGGATTAGAGGTTTGCATAGTCTGAGAGGGTATCCTGTGCTTAAGTTGTTTTTGTTTGGGGCTTTAGCATGTTGGGGGGCGGGGGGCAGCATTTTTCCAGGGGGCTCAATATACATAGGGGCTTAAACCCGAAACCCTAAACCCTAAACCACTCGTAGTAATTACCGTTGTCCCGGTGTAGTTCTCACCTGGCTGCCTAGCGGCCAAGTCCGGTTTGAAACATCTGAAGGCAGAGTCAAGGCAAGGACTTTCATCGGGGTTTATCTCCCTGGTGCATAGTAGGGAATGGGGGAATGGGTTCTGGGGACGTTTATGGGGGATTATATAGGGACTACTATAGGGATCCACTCCCCAATTCCGTACTCAGAAACAGACAGTTATCTAGGATTTCGAGCTCAGGGTTTGGGGTTTATGAATTGAGGCTGTCGGGTTTGATGTCGTCGAGACTTTTTTGGGAGCTGCAGGGTCCGATCATTGAGGCGATGGTATCCCTGTTGCTGCGCTATGGCGCAGACCCTACGGCAAAGGAGAGGGTTGTAGATTTTGCAGTGCAGGGTTTTGAACCCTAAAACCTTTCCTCATGTCATGGGCTAGAACTGTGCAGGCAGTGCAGGCTTTCCGGACTGAACATTCAGGTGGTAGTTAAGCCCATCCCCAAACAAGACCCTGGCCGAAGGCACAGCGCCTACAAATGTGTTGCTCTTGCTTTGATGTTGCGTCCTTATCGTGCTGTTTTTGTTCGCGCACTCCGGTGAGCGACGTCCTGTGGACAAACAAGCTAGCATGGTTTGGGTTCCTAACCCTAAACCCTAAACCCCATCACAGTGCTCGCCTGGCGGGCTCAAGCAGGGATGCAGACTTCCACGATACTCCACCTGTCTGAATGCGTAGTTGTTACCACTATTGCCGAGGGTTTCTTGTTTAAATATAGCAGACATTACATACACCCCCTAGTTTAATTGTCTCACGTTGATATCAATGCTGCGCCCTTAACCGATTCTGCAACGGTTCCGAGAGCATGCAAGCTCCGAGAGCATGCAAGCTCAGCAACCTCTTGATGATACAAATCCTGCAGTACCCATAATAAGGAAGATGCCATCATTCCCATAGTTAGCGTCCTTAATAATGCAGGATTTATATCTTCAGCCCTAGCGGCCCTAGTACCTTCAGCCTTTTTCCTATGAAGCCATGACCATGACGTTCATACTGAGCCCCTAAAACCTCTTAGTCTTACTAGCTCCTTGATGAAGCAACACCCAAGCCTTTAAAACTCAAAAGCACTAGTCCTTGTACCCGGCACTCGTATACCGAACCCTGAAACAACCCTTGCAGGCTTTAGGGTTTAGGGCCCTTAGGGCTGCACTCCACAGCCTGTAAGATATGAACAGCTCATCGGAAGCCTCTGGAAAAAAGCCACCCTAAACCCTAAACCCTAAACCCTAAACCCTAACCCTAAACCCCTAAACCCTAAACCCTAAACCGTACTGAGCCCCAAACTCTGAAACATGAGCCGTTAGCCCTGAAACCCCAGAGCCCAGAGACTCCAATACCCCTTAATTAAGGAATATACCTTAGGGCTCCTTTTAAAGGGTCCCTTAAAGGGATCTATAGGGTTTAGGGTTTAGGGGATTCTAATACCCCTTAATTAAGGAATATACCTTAGATCATATTAGGGACCCTACTATAATTTAAGGTCTATTCCTTAATTGAGGGGTATTGGAGTCTCTGGGAGCGTATAGCCTGAATCGTAAACCCTGAAACGTCTAAGACACAAGTAGAGCCCCTTTCGAACCCCTTGTAAAGCAAACATCAACAGAAAAAGCAGACCCCTAAACCCTAAACCCTAAACCCTAAACCTTAAAACCAGACACAGGACACATTGGGCTACACCGCTTACCAGAGGGCCAAGGCGGCTGGGTACCACGAGGCGCGGTTTTGAGGGACCCAAAAAGCACATAAGCGTAAGCATTTTATAGGGATATCCCTACCTTATTGGGGTTCTTTATAAGGGGGTTTACATGGGATATCCCTATCCTAATTTTTGCTTATGTGCTGTTTTGGAGCCCTAGGTTTTGGGTTTAAGGTCTTACTTGGAGGGTCGGGGGACTTACTAAGTAGTTATGTTGTAGAGTTATAAGTACCATAACCCCAATTAGGATCCCTTTTAGGGTACTTATAAGTCTACTTACTACCCAGTTACTAAGTCCCGCGACCCTCCAAGTAGGGCCCAGGGGCGTAGGTCTTTTGGGATCTGGGGTTGCCCGGTTCGGACAAGGGTCTTCGGGGGCTTCGGGCTTCAACTATGGAGTTGATTTCGACAAGATGCGAGAGTTCGTGAATTTAGGAGTTTAGGGTTTACTGTGACGAAAAATATAAGCTCTAAAACGTTGAAGGGGCTTCTTCGAGGGCATGCCATTCGGTGGCTTAGATGCTAGCTTTTCACATCCGCAGCCCTAAACACCCTAAACCCAAAACCCGAGTCCGTCCTGGGCTTTGGGCGCTCCAACCCGCCCCAATCCTAAACATAGTCGAATCTTTGAGGCCCCAGTGAAAACCCATATTGATCTGCACAGAACTCGTGCAAGAGCTCCGCAGAACGCCACGGTGCTTATTAAACTATCAAGGCTCCAATCTTCATTAATCTCTACAACACCCAGGACGAGCTCTACAGAAGGATAATAATAATGTGCTTATGAAGGCTCCAAATCTTATCTAATCTCTACAAAACCCAGGAAGAGCCGCGCAAAAGATCCATCAAACACCTATTGGATCCTGTACAAACTTGTACTAAGCATGTAGAACATGTTAGGGTTCCGCATAACAAGTACAGTAGTCGAACATAAGCCAACCCGGAACCCTCCTCTATTAAACCATAAACCTTACTCGCCAGAAATTGAGCATCCCTCCTGTTATTTGTGGGCCTCACGCAGCGGACCATGGGCCAGAGCAAACAAAAATAGTCCTACAGAAATAAGACGGTTTAGGATTTGGGTTAAAACGGGGTTCCAGAGGGCAAGTTGCCAAAGTCATCTCTTCGGGTTCCTTGCTTGAGTTTCCCATGAGACTCCAAGTGCAGCACATCCCGATTTCTAGATCCTCTCCGGTTCTCTAACACCTGCAGCCGTAAACCCTAACAGAGGAGCCTTACATGGTTAGAGTCTGATTAGCTTGCGGTTGCGGGAGAATTTCCAGTATATCTGCTTCGAGGAAACCTTAAGGACGACTATTCTAAATAGCAAGACTCTTCTATTAGCACTCTCAAGTTAAACCCCACTTTGGGTTTACTGGCTTCGGGTTATTCTAGGGTCCGGAATCTAGCCTCCCACTCACAAATCCTTAAAGCGTAAACGCGACAGTTCTTAGTCCTTAACTTATTCCCAATTCTTATTCCGAAATCTTATTCCCTATTTCTTAGTCCTTAATTCCTATTCCCAATTCTTATTCCCAATTCTTATTCCCAGATGCAAAAAGCCCAGTCCCTTGATACGGCGATGTGCAGCAGATGCAACCTGCTTGCCAGGTGGTTCGTGAGTTCCAAGGACATCACCACTGCAGTGGCACCCTTACCGCTCACCACGTAAAAATCAGAAAGTAGGACGAAACCCCAAAGCCTGAACCAACAACCTTGCAATGGCACTACTTAAAGGCTCATGAGACTTAGTAAGTATAAGGTTATAACGTGCCCGTTGCGCCGGGACAAGGACAGCATTTGGGCGGCTTGTTGTTTTAGGGTTTAGGGCTTAAGGCTTGTTTTAGGGTGTAGGGTTCACTCAACAAGCATACTACACGATCCTGAAAGAGCAGTCTAGGCCTCCGTGAAGCCTATGTGAAGTCCGTGAGCTTTCAGCCTACACCGGTCCAGGGTACCGAGAGGGTCATACCCTATCCCCTTTTTTAGGATACCCAGATTTATGGTTAGGATCTGTTATATAGAAAATTAGGTACCTTAAAAAAGGGGTAGGCTATGAGCCTCCAGGTAAGTGGTGAAGGGGAATCAAGCCACCGCGAGCTTCTGAATCTAAACTGCGAAGCAGCCTCAAGTGGTGTGTCTTCCCTGAGACATGCGAGAATGTAGGGTTGGAGCGAAGCTTCTTTTTGTTTTCGTGTTGTTTTTGGAAGGGGGAAGGTTTGGAGTGTGCACTTGGAGCCAACTGACATGGGTGAACAACATCAGAAACTGTCGAATGTTTGACAATTTGTGCGACAAAGGCTTCTCACCCGAAGCGCGAATCATCTGAATCGGATTGCGCAGCGAGCCTCACTAGTGGTCGTTTGTCAGTATGCAGAAGTTTGTGGTGTATCTCTAGATATACATGTTCAGGAGTCTAGGCAAAGGTATAATTAGGGGTTATGTAAGGATGAAGTTCATCTACTCGACTAAACCCCCGAACCCTATGAGTTGCTCTCCCGGAGAGTTGTTCCCAAACCCCAAATGCCAAAAACTCAAACCCAAAACCCTAAATCCAAAACACCAAAACACCCAAACCCCAAAACCCCAAACCCCAAAACCCTAAACCCTAAACCCTAAACCCTAAGCCCTAAACCCTAACCCCTAAACCCAAAAACCCCAAACCCCAAAGCCCTAAAGCCCTAGAGCTGCTCAGGCGACAAGACTGCACGTGGAGCTGCCCTGTCCGTCCTAGAGAGGCCAAGCCGTCCTAGGCTTGGGGTTTAGCTGGGGTGTTGCTAGGGTTTGGGTTTTAGGGTTTAGGGTGTTAGGTGTTTGTGGCTTGGGGATTTAATTCGGGTTTGGGTGCAGGGTTTAGGTTAGGGTTTGGGGTTGCCTGGGTATGGAGCTACGTGGCGATTCAAACACTAAGGAAGAGCGGTTCTATTGATCCTTAGAGCTACCTTCCGTCCCTGGCGAGGTACTTAAATTAAAGCTTGTAACTTTCAAATGAGACTCTTGAACCTTAGCCCGTTTATAGTTGCCCGTAAACCTTTGAAAAAAAGACTGAACCCAGGTCCCATGCAACTGCCCCCCCCCCCCCCCGCGGTGGGGGAGCTTGTTTGGGGCAATTCTACAACTGGGTTCTTGTCAAGGGATTTAATTTAGGTTGACATATTAAGGACACCATATGATTTGCTATAGGTCCCTAAGTCAGCTCCCGTAACAAGACCCTAGAAAACATTGCAAACTCAGCTCACCTTACAACATCCTTAGCAGCCAACTGTGTCAGAGTCAAAAGCCCCTTTTCAAAGCTTTGAAGATCCTCGGCAAGGAAATATCGATGAGGATATAGGTGGTTGTCAATATTAGGGTCCTTTTTGGGTCCTTATTATAATACGACACCTATTCTTTAGGGTACCAAAAAGGGACCATAATATTGACAACCACCCATATAGCAATGAACCACCCATATAGCAGTGATCAAACCTTGAAGGAGCTAGTCCTACAGCCCTGAAGCCCTAAACCCTAAACCCTTACAGAACCTTTCCTCAATCCTTGGAGGATCTCTTATCAATAAAGCCTGAAGCCCAAACCTGGGGCTTTCAAGCCTTATTCATAGAACTCTCTCCCTCGTGGAACCCAAAAGCGGAACCCAACAGAAGAAGAGCCCGAATACAGCAACCCATGCCCGAAACCGTTGTTTGTAGAACCCAAAAGATCGATCGAACCCCAGAAAGGATGACCCTAACACCTTGAACCCTAATGCCTGAAGCCCGAAGACCATGAGCCTTAAAAGCCTGAACAAACCAAAATCCCTAACCCTAAATCTCGTCGGCTCATCGCAACGGGTGGTCTAAGCCCAAAGGCCTAAACCCTAAACGCCAGAACCCGAAACCCCTAAGACCCTAAGAGTAGTAGGGAATGGGGGAAGGATCCCCATGATAGCCCCTTAAGGGTCCCTTACAGTAGTCCCTATAACCCTAAACCCTATACTACCCTATACCCTAAACCCTAAAGCCCTATACCCTATAACCCTATAACCCTAAACCCTATACACCCTATAACCCTATAACCCTAAACCCTAAACCCAGTATTCGTGGCGCAGGCTCTCCCCGCCAGGATTCGAGGCTCTTGGGGTTTGGGGTTTGGGGTTTAGGGTTGGATTGGGATTACAAGGGTTGATTTTATGAAGGGGTTTATCAGGGTTCTTTAGGGGGCGTTGCAGCCTAAACCCTAAACCCTAAACCCTAAACCCTTATTTGTAGTTTAGGTTATAGAAGGTTTCAACTATCGGCTGCTTTAAGTTTGTTTCAGCGTTCTGGGATGTGCCTGGGGATCTAGGGCTGTTGATTTAGGGTTTATGGTTTTAGGCTTTAGGGGTTTAGGGTTTAAGGTGTGCAGCTAAGAGAAGGGTCTTCGGCTTAGGCTGGAGTGCCAGGCGGCTGCGGAGGAGGTTCTGGACTTGTTGTTCCGTCGGCTGTTGCTGGGTGAGCTCTGGGCTCAGCTCCACGTGATGTCCCGCCAGATGGTGGTGCACAACAGGCACACGCACGAGGCCATAATTATGGGACATCAGGCTTTTCAGCTTCCGTCCGTCAGCCAGCGGTTTCGTCGAGCCGCGGGCCCCGAGTACATCCATGGGCTTCTGCGTTTACAGGCCGGGCTGCACAATGGCTTCGTCGGCGCCTGCCTGGCTTGGTACTTCGACTTAGAAAACCTCTAAACCCTATGCTGGGTGTGCAATAAAGGCCTGTACATGGCTGGCAACAGGCCTTTTGGCCAGAAGAACTATCTTGCCAACGCGTGCTTGAACAACGTGAGGAAGAGACATAAACTTAGTGGCTGAGTGGCAACCTTTAACTTTTTGGGGAATTTACAATCTACCATACTTGAAGCTGAGCAGCTAACCTTGAACCTTTGGGGCTCATACAATCCTACCGGTTAATGTAGGAACCTGGTTAAATTTAAGAAACCCTGGGCCTATAACCCCAAAACAGTAAGATTCATATAAGGAGCCCTCATAAAGGCCCAAGGTTTCTTAATCAGGTTCCTACACTAAAACCTCTAAACCCTAAAACCCTAAACCCACTCTAGAACCCTTATAGATCCCTTTAAGGAACCCTTCGTTCCTACATTATGGGTCTCTGGGTTCTCTTGGGCGGGTTTAGGGTTTAGGGTTTAGGGTTTAGGGTTTAGGGGGTATTCAGCCCCGCAGGATTGCACGTACTCTTCTGTCTGGTTCTTAGTCATAGGGGAATGGGTTCTGGAAACTACTATTGGGGATTATATAGGGACTACTACGGGGACCCATTCCCCATTCCCTACTAAGAACCAAGCAGTCTTGGAAGAATGGATGATACGAAAGTCCAGTGCTGATGTTAAGGAAGACGAGGCTCCCTGATCAGATCCTTGACCAAAAACCATGTAAAACACTGAATCCTAGAAGCCATCAGCCCAAAACCCGTGTACACGCCCTTATAGAATAGCCTGTCTTATAAGGACCCTAAACCTTACACTCGAGAAGCCCTATGTGTGCCTTAAGCGCCAAAACCTGAAACCTGAACCCTGAACCCTAAACCTGAAACCTGAACCCTAAACCCTAAACCCTAGAAGCCCCAAGCACCGAATCCCAACCTCGGCGCAGGACTTCTTTGCAGCACTCGAGCGGGATCCGCTCGTCCGTCGACGACTGGCCAGCCGGCTAAATCTGGGCTATCCCGGCTGACACGGCTTGGGGACCTATAACGTCATGATTCTTACTACCCAGACCCCCGGGAGGATCCAAAAAGTAGATCCCTTAATGGGGGTTCCTATAAAGTACCCTTAGTAGTATAGGGCCCCAAATTAAGGGATCTACTTTCTAGATCCTCCCGGGGGTCTGGGTATAAGCGGTTCGGGTTGAGGATTCATTCTCGCTGCAGTGTCTGGGGTTTTGTTTTTGTAGGCCTAGGGCTTGTTGGGCTCAGTCTTTTGGGGGGTAGGGCCAGGGCGTATACTTAAAGGCTCATGGGACTTAGTAAGTAAGGTTATAAGTAGGTTATAATTAGGATAGCCCCACTTAGGGGACTTATAACCCCAGTTATAATCTACTTACTAAGTCCAATGATCCTCTAAGTGGTGTTTAGGGTGGTAGGGTTCAGCATGTTGGGATTAAGGTGCCGGGTTCAAGTTTGTTAGGGTTCTAGGAGTTTGGGATTGGGCTTCGGGGTTTAGTGTTTAGAGTGTGTAGAGCGCCTGCAGCATCGAGACTCAAACCCCTTATAATTAAGGAATCACAACAAAATGAGGGTGTTATCCTTCAGTATGGGTTTGGGAGATGACATTGCAGTGGTGTTAAGCTACCCTCAGAAACAGTCTTACCATTTTCAGGCAAGTACCTTTATGGACCCTCGTATACATGTTTTCAAAACATGACATATGCGTACTAAACCCTTAACTTAACCCTAAGAAAGGGTTGCTCGGAATCTCTGGGAGTTTATGTTGACAGACTAATATAGGGGCCTTAATAATTAGAATAGGGTTGGGGGCTATATTTTACTATATTCTTCTATAGTTGTAATAAGGACCCCCCCCAAAAACCCTTTTCTAATTATTAAGGCCCCTACATTACGGTGTTCAGGGTGCTACGACCGGACGACTCCCCCAAGGCCCGTAAACCTAAGCCCGAAACCTTAAATTTCAACGCTAAACCCTAAACCTCAAGCCTACGCCTTAAATCCCTGAACCCTAAAAGCCCTAAGCCCCTACAAGCCCTAAGCCCTAAGCCTTAAATCTAGGAAGCGAGACTCTCTTGCTAGGATCCCCAGTAGCATCCTCTTTGCCCTTCTGTTGCGATCCCTAATGAAAGCCAAATACGAATAGTAACGGTTTAGAAGTTTAGGGAAAAAGGGGACCCCCCCTCGTTAAGGGGTCACGGGTTAAGGGTTTAGGGAAAAAGGATACCCTCATCATTAAGGGCTTACGGGTTTAGGGTTTAGGGTTAAGGCAAAAGGGTACCCTCGTTACTGAGGGGTCACTGGGGAGCGTTATCTCCCAAAGAACCTCAAAATCCCAAATCCTAAACCTCTAAACCCCTAATTCAACCCCAAACCCCTAAACCTAGACCCTAAACCCTAAACTTTTAGATCCTAAACCCTAAGCCTCAAGGGCAAGCCTCGTGATGCAGGTTGGGCTGGCAGAGAAGTGAGTCGCTCTCGGCCTGCTTGGAAGATTCTTTTGGGTTTGGGGGTGTTTCGGTTCCGGTGTAGGGTTTAGGGTTCAGGGGTTTAGGGTTTAGGGTCGGGAGTTTTGGGCTTTAGGGGTTTAGGGGTCTTCAGGGTTTTAGGGTTTCGTGTGGGTTTAGGGTTTCGAGTTTCTTTGAGGCTTAGGGTTTGGGGCCGTGCGCTTTCCTTGGAATAAAAGGGTTCATCGAAGTTTGGGGTTGGGAGTTTTGGGTTCAGAGTGTACAGCTTCAGAACTTCATGTGGGTAAAGGGTTTCGGATTTCATTTGCGTTTGTGGATGCTGTTTGTTCAAGCTTGAGCACACCACTCGCAGACATCTAATGGAAAGCAAATGATGACTTGTTCGACCTCAGACTCTAGATCCTAAACCATCGGCCATGCCACAAGTGAACTGCAAACAACACATACATGACCTTCCGAAGAACTTACATCAAGGCCTCTGCTAAATCTTGTATCCCCCAAAATCTAAACCCCAAACCCTAAATCCTAAACCCCAAACCCTGCTTCGTCGTCAGCAGGGAGTCCGTCAAAATCTTGTGCGGGGCCTGCTGCAGTTTCGACAGCGGCTTGGCCTTCGAGTGCAGGTGCGGCAGCAGAGTCGACATCGACGTACGTACCGGGCTGACAAGTTTCAGCCTCACTGTCGTCTACGCTTTCGCCAACAATTTCGACCGTAGATCAGCTAACGAGCCCAGCCTATTGTTCTTGTGGGGCCATATGCAAGAGGCCTGCAGGGCGAGGCCGCGCGACTACTGCCACGTTGGGCGAGGTTCACAGGTCTGCGGTGCCGTCGGCTGGTACGCCTTCATTCACCACAAGGTCGGTACCGACCTCGTTGAGCGGGGCATCACCTGGCGCGGCGACCTCGTCGCCCAAGGTGGCGGGAGGTACAGGAGCACAGCCGGCGGTTCGTTTTGCAGAAGTTTAGGGGTCCTAAGACCTCACAAAGCTCCAACACCCAAAGCCTAAGCCCGAAACCCAAAGGTTTTAGGGTGTAGGGAGTTTAGGGTAGACTGTAACGTTCGCTGTGTAGTATTCGTATGTTAGTTAGTTTACCGGTGAGTTCCTAAGGACGCTGGACAAAAGGGGGGGGTGCAAGCGGACTTCTGAAGGCATGTATGTAGACTTCTGGCAAAACCGTATATAGTAGGGCTTATGTCAGGGCTATAGCGAGTGTACAGTCAGAGTGTTGCGGTGATGCTAGTACAACGCATCCTGCATTCTTTTTCCCTAAACTTTAAACCCTCAACCCTGAACCGTAAACCTTGAAGCCTAAACCCTAAAGCCCAACATACGTAACCTTCTCTGTCCCCGCATCTGCAGTTGCCAGGTCAGATGTGGCAGCAGTTGACGACGGTAAGTACCGACCGCTCAATCCTTTGCCAAACGACAGCCCTCGATAGTGTGAACTCTAGTTGATGGAGCAGAAAAGCTTGAGTTTTCAAGCCCGCACCCGACATTCCTACATCCTGACTTCAACCCAGCCCCTCAAAGCCTAAACCCACCGCCATTTTCCAAACATGAAGATCATAATAAGCAAAAAAGCAGCACGTGGGTGGATCAAAAAAAGAAGAAGGAGTCCTAGTCCCTACGCCCTGAACCCCAAAGCAAGCCAGATCAAGGAATCCTAGCCCCTAAAAACCTGCAAGCCGCAACCTCAAGCTCTGAACCCCGAAGCCCGCAAAAAAACCCGGTTCATGGTTTTGGTTTATGATCCGATTTCGGCTTCTGGTTTAAGAATTAGGGTTCTGGTTGCGCGTTTGGGGTTTTGGTTTCAGGCTTAGGTCATAGGAGGCCAAAAAAGGGGTTTTAGCCCATGGGGGTGTAGTAGGGATTAGGGTTCCCATAATGGGGTTCATATTAAGGAATCCCTACCCCAAGAATCCTAAACCCCCCATTTGGCCTCCCATCATTAGGGTTTTGGTCTGGGGTTTGGAGTTTCGGTATGTTGCGTGGGTTTCGACTCATGGTTCGGAGGTTGGTTTAGGCGTTTGATGGCGTTAAGGTTCAAATGGGAGTTTCCGAAAAGTAGGAGTACCGTATTTTGCGGTCCTTATAATAGGGATCCTACTATTTAGGGTACCATACTAGGGTGCCCTATTTTCGGAAACTCCCAAATGAAGGATCAGGGGAGGTTAGCAAGTCGTGTGATAGCTAGCTATGGTTCTCCCTGTGCGTAATGCAACAACAACCCTTAGACCTGAAACCCCTCAACCTGAGACCAGTAACGTGCTGAATCGAGACGTCAAATCCCGCAGCACTACATCCTGTGCAACATGAAAATCCTAAACCCTAAACCCCAAACCCTAAAAACCTAAATCTTCTGGAACTATGTGGAAAGGAGATGAGAGGCTCGTCGCGCGATGTGGTTTAAACTGAAGGCCAGGGGCCCTTTCAACACGATAACTGTGATTTCTAATTGCAATTGTGCAGGAAACGAGGGTTCACCCACTCGGTGTTAACACTCTCGGGCAGACTCGGTTGCGCAGTCGGCATAAGAATACATAATTAGCTGGTCTAAGAGCAACTAAAAAATTGAGCCCCAGACCCCAAAAGCCGTTTCTAGTGATGAATGGCCTAGGGCTTATTGTTCAGGGTTTTGGGGTTGGGCCCTTCATTACAGTCGTTTAAAGAGCCTTGAGGTAAGGTCTTGTCTTCAGACCCTAGATGCCGTAGGATGACCCGCCCCCCAAACCCGCTTAAGCAATGCTAAAGCCTAAGGCTAGTACACCATTGACCCTACCCGCCTCAAAATCCTAATTTTTTGATGGGTAGTCGGTGCATGGTTTAGTGTTCAGGGTTTGGGGATTCCCTTGGGAAGTGTTCTCTCTCTCTCTCTCTCTCTCTCTCTCTCTCTCTCTTCTGCCAGAATATGAACAATATGAACCCCCTGGGCTGTTACTATCATTGCGTTAATTTTGGGCTTTAAGGGCTTCCTGCTAAACCCTGTTCTGCTGGGCCTGAGTTCAACAACTCAAATTGTTAGGGGTCAGGGCCCTAAACTCTAAACCCGAAGCCCCAAACCCTAAACCTCTAAAGAGAGCCTGATAATCCGTTTAAGGCTTCTAATCCCAAAGCGCTACTCTAAGTGTGAAGGCCCTTCCATGAATCATAGCAGGGAGCCATAGGACATTTTCCACATATTCAGACATCTCCTAGACCCCCTAAACCCTAAACCCTATAGGCCCTATAAGCCCTAAACCCTAAACCCTAAACCCTAAACCCTAAACCCTAAACCCTAAACCCTAAACCCTAAACCCTAAACCCTAAACCCTAAACCCTAAACCCTAAGCCCTCCAACGCTGAATCCATGAGCCCCGAAGCTTCGAACCACTGGGTTTTTTAGGGTTTTCGGGTAAAGGGAAATCCAGGAAGGAAGGAACTTAGGTTTAGGGTTTAGGGTTTAGGGTTTAGGGTTTAGGGTTTAGGGTTTAGGGTTTAGGGGTTGATGCAGAAGGGGCCCTAGATTTCCCTAATCGCAAGCCCCAACCCCGTAAACCCTAAACCCCTAATCCCTAAACCCTACCCCTTGAAGAACCCTGATGGAGCCTGTACAGGAGACATTACAGGAGCCCTTGAAACCTAAGCCCTGTCTCTAGCCGCGAGCCGGCTGATGTCTGCTTATCTGCCAGAATTCGCTTGAGAGCTTGCGCCTTGCGCGCGGCTTTGCCGACGACAGATAACTGCCAGAGGGTTTAAAGTTTACGGCTTTAGATGGGGTTCAGGGCTCTACGGCTGCAGGATTTAGGGATTCGATTTTCCGGTTTGTAGCCAGGGCGAGACGTAAGAATCTGGGGTGCGGGTTTGCTTGCAGATTTCAGACATCAGGTTTGCGTAGAGTTGCGGTACCTGGCAAACTCGATACTCGTCGTGTGATCTGTTACGCTAAGGGTGCAAGTGCCTCACCTGTAGCTCCGAAATCCATTGAGTAGTAGTTTTCAGCAGGACCCTGAGTTACCGGCAGGGCCCCGAAGATACGGATGATGATGTAAATCCTGCATTGCCTTCAGGACCCTTAACTATGGGAATTATGGCATTTTCCTTGTTATGGGAAATGCAGGATTTACTACTTAAAGGCTCATGGGACTTAGTAAGTAAGGTTATAAGTAGGTTATAATTAGGATAACCCCACTTAGGGGACTTATAACCCCAATTATAACCTACTTACTAAGTCCCATGATCCTCTAAGTAGGTTTTGTTGGGGTAGGTTCCAGGGCCATGGGCAGAGGATTTGGACTCACGGCAGAGAAAATCCCGGAGAGAATATCCCTTACCAAATGGATTCACGATGCAGTTTCCGTAGGGTTTCTTCAAGGTTTTATATTGGGCGGTATGTGAGTGGCAATAGGTAGGGTAAGAAGTTTCCAATCGCGTTTGTAAGGCGATGGAACTATGAGTCTAAAGCTCAGCGCTGAGGGCGTTGGGTTCACAGGCCTTAGTAAATGGTAGCATATGCTTCCTGTATACAAAACGTCCTGGCGTTGTCGTGTCGGCATTATTACTCTTCTGGCTCATTGAGAGCATTGCTTGCATCATGAATCTCTGGGAGGCTCGTAAATCTGGGATACTACCCTAAACCCTAAACCTTAAACCCTAAACCCTATAAACCTTAAACCTTAAACCCTAAACCCTAAACCTTAAACCCCAAACCCTAAACCCATGGATGCGTGAACAGTAACTTCAATTCTCCCTCTCGGTTCCTTATATCGGAACTACAGTCAAAAATTCTAAGTGTGAGGGCTCCGAATAACCCCCTATAAAACTCATAAGGGTGGTTGTCAAATTTATGGTCCCTTTTTGGGTCCTCAATATAGTACGGCACCTTATATGTAAGGTACCCAAAAAGGGGCCCCTAATTTAACCACCCATAAGTAGAATCCTTATAGGAACCGAAAAGAACCCGTAAGAAAAAGGCTCAGGACCCGTATTTTCGTGTTCAGGGCCCCTCAGTACTGGGCTCAGGG